GTCACGGCTCATGCGCAGATTTTTTATCGGTAAAAAGATTGGCCGATTTGCCCATCACTGCCGAAAAATCATCCAATAGGCAAAATCGGACGATTTTTTTTTTCCAACTTCACCGATAAAAAAAGTGCCAAAACCCCAAAAAACGGCTGACCAATTAACCCACTAATGGTGCAAAAATCGGCTGATTTTCGACCCATCTATGGCCTGCATTAGTTCACTCTGGGCGGCGGAGAGAGAGACAATAAAAACTGGTGGTTGGTCCCCATTTTTTCCCCTATAAGAAGAGAGGGAAAAAAAAAATGGTTGTCAGTCACAAAAGGATATTTTTAACAAAAGAAGGAAATATTTTACTTTTATTGCTAGTTTGTAAACATTTTTGCAGGCCATAGAGGGGTCGAAAACCGTCTGTTTTAAAAAAAAAAAAAAAAAAAAAAATGAAAAATCGGTCGTTCAATAGGCCGACGTTACCAGCAACGGTAAAAAAAAAATCGGCCGATTTTGTCCCGTCTACGGCCGGCCCTGCAGAGAGCTCCGCTATTATATTTGACATGAAAAAGTCTTGCGGTTGCAACAATGTATTTATTTGTATCCATTTCGGATACAGATGTTTTTATTCGGATACAAATAGATACATTGTTGCAACCGCAATACTTTTTCATGTCAAATATAATAGCGGACTGGAATTCTTCTTCTTCCTTCTTCCTTCTTCCTCCTTTCTTCTTCCTTCTTTCTTCTTTCTTTTTCCAGGTCACGGCTCATGCGCAGATTTTTTATCGGTAAAAAGATTGGCAGATTTGCCCATCACTGCCGGAAAAAATCGTCCGATAGGCAAAATCGTCCGATTTTTTTTCCAACCTCACCGATAAAAAAAGTGCCAAAACCCCAAAAAACGGCTGACCAATTAACCCACTAACGGGGGAAAAATTGGCCGATTTTTTTTTTCGGCCGAAAATTCAGCCGATTTTCAACCCATCTATGGCCTGCATTAGTTCCCTCTGGCGGCGGAGAGACAATAAAAACTGGTGGTCGGTCCCCATTTTTTCCCCCCTCTCCAAACTGACACAGCAGCCAGAAGGGAGATGAGTTCACATTGCCACTCTTAGTTTTGTAGTACAGCAAGTCAAGTGCCGCCTGTTGAACTTGAAGTCAATGGCCAATTGGCTGTAGCCAAATGCAACTATGGCGGTTACGGTGTGGTAGTTCAATGTGGAATCCCCACTGGGAGAAAAGAATCCCCCTGGAGATCAATTAAAAACCACAGGCATTCAAGAGTTGGCAGTGAACCGGCTGTCAAATGCCATCTTAAAAGCGATAGACTGTGATCAATTGTAAGCCGTGTTAGGCATCTTGGAGGGCATTTAAAGGAATAGTTCACACTGGCAGTAGATGGCCGATAAAAACAGGTGGTTGATCTGCGTTTTTACCAACTGCATCCAAATTTACATGGCAGCTGGAGCAGTGAGTTCACACTGCCTTAACAAAAAAAATCTTTAAATAAGTTCAATTTTGGCAGGAAATGTACCATTTGATGCCAGGAATTGATTATTACATGGTCTCGAGCAAGAATCCAAGCAACAAGCGAGGACTCATTGAAGCTAGCCTTGGATTCTTGCTCGAGACCATGCGTTTCAATCTTGACCACAGATTTTTGATGGGATTCAAGTCAGGGCTATTTCCAGGTCAGGGTAGCAGAGGAATTTTTTTGTCATTGAACCATTTAAGGCATTTACAAGCTGTATGGCATGGAGCTCCATCCTGTAAATTCTGTGCCTTTGTCCGATAAGTCGCTTATTGATGGGATCAACTTTGGTTCCAGGACCTCTTTGTATCGCTCTACATTAATAACGCCATCAATAACCTGCATTCGTCCAACACCATACCGAGACATGCAGCTCCATATCATGACGCTTTGAGGGTGTTTCATTGTTGCTGTCATGCACTCAGGAAGGCATTCTTCGCCTGACCTTCTTCTCACGTATCGAACACCATCGCTTCCGAAAATAGAAATTTGTGTTTCATCACTCCAAATAATTTTTTTCCAATCTTCTGTTGTCCAGTTTTGATGTTTCTTGGCCGATTCGACTCTTTTCTTTCTTTGTTGGCAGTTCAAAAACAAGGGAGTAAGTAAACATATCAACCGAAACTGACAACATCAGAAGGTGTATCCACAATTTTGGCCACTAGTGTAGACCATAGATCTTGAAGGCAGCATTGATAGTATTCAAATGATCATGAAAATTGTAGTGTTTCGGGTTCATGCAGAACCCCTTCATCAGGCATGTGATCACTGCGAATGGTTGCAATTTACTGATGTGATCACTTCATTTTTGGATGCTATCTTGATGATCCATGGTGTGCTGGTGGTATACAGTACGTGTTGACCTGTGTTGATACCGGTTTCCAGCTGGTAGTTGCTACAGCTCCCACTTGCTTTAACCTCCCTGGCAGTATTCCTGAGCAGGGGCGGACTGACCATTTGGAAACTCGGGCTCTGCCCAAGGGCCCGGGGTCAGTAGGGGGCCCCATGAGATGCCCCTGGGGGGTACCTTTTTCATAGGATTTTTTGAGTTTGGGCAAGGACAATCTATGGGGATGCACAGTGGCCCCATGATCCCCTATTGCTCGGGGGCCCCATGAGTTGTCAGCCCGCCCCTGTTCCCGAGTGTAGCTCGGGGTAAAGTTTCAGTACCAAAAGCGGTAACCCCCGAGCTACACTCGGGAATACACTGCAGCGTTGCTCAGGGATTCCCTGACAGCACTTACCTTGTCCTGCGCTCCCGCGATGTCCCCCCTGCAGTATCCCCCGCCATCTCCTCCAGCCGATGCCGGGATCAGTCTTCCGGGTTCCGGTCCCTGCGAGCGTTGGGACGTACGGGGGACAGAACTGGCGGCAAATTAGAAAATTTTAAAAAGTGACATTCACAAAATACACTAAAATCACATAGTATAACATTCCTGTATCAAACCATTTCACATACATTTTCTCCCGAGTGCTTTGTCCGGCGCCCTGCCTGCATTTTTACTGTTCTTTCTGCCTGGAAACTGAGAAACGTCCATGGCGTCCAAAAAGCGTCCCTTTAGGTCAAAAGCGGTTTTAGACCGGCTAGAGAACAGCGATAGTAAATCAGAACCACTTGCAGAATTGAGTGATAACACAGGTCTGCAACTAAAAAGCTGTTTGATTATTTTCATCTAATTTCCATGTATTTTGGTGTGCTGAAAACAAATAAAATATTGAAAAAAACTCCTAGATGGCATGATTTGCCACAAAATGCAAAATTGTCTTCAAATTTATACAATTTTTTAAATTTTTGGTATTTTTTTATATTATGGGTTTTTAACCAAATTTAAAGTCCAAGTTACTATTAATTAATTCACATAAGTGCATTTAAGATATAAATGCCAAAAAAACCTTAAAGGGGTTGTCCGAGTTATGTAAAAAAAAAATATAGCACTGTAAATCTGATGGTCAGCAATTAATGATTTGAGGGGGAAATTCGTCATCAGACACTGAAAACGATTCTGCGACTGAACTCAGCGATGTGCGAACTTGGCGCTCTATTTCAAATTTCAGTGTTTTTGGTTTGATTACATTATTGAATTAAATTTATTATTATTATATTATTATTTTTTATGATTATTTATTAAACTATAATTTATGATTTTGTGTTTCAAATTGTAACATACCCGGGATGTTTACTAGACTCTTGTTCGGACAGATTTCAGTGAGTTATTCCTAAAAATTACAGCCTACAATAAAAAAAAGAATACTGTATTTCCATGCAAAAAAAATGTACCACTTTGAGCACAGAAATATGGACATAATCAGACCGCTAGGGAGGTTAAGCCATCGACAGGAACGTGGACGATCTGAATATTCTATGTATTGTAAAAAAAAAAATCCTGAAGTGCAGCGTTGAAAAGTAGCAATGTAGGGCGACGTCCCAAATTTCAAACCCAAGGGCGATCACACGTGTTAAAAAAATCTTGCAAAATGTGAGCCATGTTCGCGAGTGCTGAATATGTAACCCCAGTGGAGACAAGTCCTACCAGGCAATGGAAGGTCTAGTCCAGCTGCATTGGTCGCACTAGAACATTATTGATCCCACTTGTGATTCCAGGAAGGCGATAAAGTCTCCCACAACACTTTGCACTTGTGACGGGATCACAGCCCTTCCAATAACCCCTCTCACTGATGAACAGGAAAATGTGACCTTCCAGTCCCCGGGCCCCGCAGCTGGGAGAACTCCATTAATCATACAACACCTGAGACTGTGCGATCAGCTGACACTCATTACCCCTCCATCACTCACTTCCCAATGGAAGCCGGTGTGAAAACTGCTAACCGTGTGATACCCAACATTTCTCGAAGGTAGGAAGACGATGTAAAAAAATACTTTTGCACCTTCATCAGACTTGTAATCATCTTTATTAGCAAAATAATTTAGGAGGAATGTATTGAAAGCTAGTTGCAATGGACTGACAAGCAGATATATTGTTTCATGTACCCCTCTGGAACAGTTTTTTCATTTTTTTGCACACATATTAACATTTGCATTTTTGGCAATAAAATCACATAACAGGTAACTAGTTAACTATTTGTTACCAGGCCGAAGGCCCAGCCTCTGCACTTGCACAGGCACCTATTTATTTTCTTTGTATTTCTTTTTCTCACTTTGCACTTATATATGTGTTATTTCCACTCAGGATGATAAGGTGTGGGTCTTTGGGCCTACACTGAAGTCTAGGGGTAGGATGTGTGTCATTCAGGCTCCTTCCTCCCCTGCCTTTAGCGGTCTCTTTTCAGGAGAACCTCCCATCCAGTCCTCATTGGTTGGATTTGACTGATCATGGGGTGCAGGGTCTGCCTCAACTTTTTGGCTAGGTGGACCTGAGTGTGCTCTGCCCCTGTCAAAGAATCTTGCACCCTGGGCGGATAGAAGGAAATGTGGGGGGTTTACTTGCTCTTGGTGGCCTTGTGGCTCTCGGTCTTCTTGGGCCTAGATGTTGGGCAGACCTCCTCCCTGGGTGATGGTGATGCCTCCCTGGGTGATGGTGATGCCACCCAGCAGCTTGTTGAGCTCCTTGTCGTTGCGGACAGCCAGCTGGAGGTGTCGGTGGATGATGCGGGTCTTCTTGTTGTCTCGGGCGGTGTTGCCAGCCAGCTCGAGGATCTCAGCTGTCAGGTACTCCAGGACGGCGGCCATATAGATGGGAACTCCGGCCCGACCCACTCGGCCCTTCCTGAGCAGCCGGTGAACATGACCGACGGGAAACAGCAGACCAGCCCCGGACAATCGGGTCTTGGCCTTAGCCCGAGCCTTGCCTCCTTGTTTGCTGCAACCAGACATGATTGGATTGCTGAGGAATCTCTCAGACAGAAAAAAAGTCTTGCACCCTGGGCGGATAGAAGGGAATGTGGTTTACTTAATCTTGGTGGCCTTGTGGCTCTCGGTCTTCTTGGGCAACAGTACGGCCTAGATGTTGGGCAGGACTGCTCCCTTGGCGATGGCGCCCAGCAGCTTGTTGAGCTCCTCGTTGTTGCGGACAGCCAGCTGGATGTGTCGGGGGATGATGTGGGTCTTCTTGTTGTCTCGGGTGGCGTTACCGGCCAGCCTCGAGGATTTGAGCCGTCAGATACTCCAGGACGGCGGCCAGATAGACGGGAGCTCCGGCATAGTTGCCCTTCCTGAGCAGCCGGTGAACACGACCGACCGGGGGGAACAGCAGACCAGCCTGGGATGATCAGGTCTTGGACGTGACTCTAGGTCTTCTTGGGCAGCAGCACGGCCTAGATGTTGGGCAGGACTCCTCTCTGGGAGATGGTGACACTGCCCAGCAGCTTGTTGAGCTCCTCGTCGTTGCGGACAGCCAGCTGGAGGTGTCGGGGGATGATGTAGGTCTTCTTGTTGTCTCGGGCGGTGTTGCCGGCCAGCTCGAGGATCTGAGCCGTCAGATACTCCAGGACGGCGGCCAGATAGACGGGACCTCTGGCATAGTTGCCCTTCCTGAGCAGCCGGTGAAACACGACCGACCGGGAACAGCAGACCAGCCTGCGATGATCGGGTCTTGGCCTTAGCCCGAGCCTTGCCTCCTTGTTTGCCGCGACCAGACATGATTGGATTGCCAAGGAACCTCTCGGACAGAAAAAAAGTCTTGCACCCTGGGGGCTCAGGGAAAGGTCCTACCTCTTCAGAAAGGGACCATTTGACACAAGTGCACTTTTTTTGTGTTCACACAGACCTTTTTGGGTAACTTTTGGTGTTTTGTTTTTGCGCATCACAAGCTCTAGAAAAAAAAAATAGTTCTCATTTGATACATTGCTAGGGGCCGAAGCTGTGGAGGTCTCTGGGTATAAGTGAGGGGTGGCTATAAAGTCACAGAGGGTTGTCTATAAGGTCGTATGGAAGCCACATCCAGCTCCTAGCCCGCGGCATCTCCACCGAATTCCATCAGGCCGCAGAGCCAAAGCCGAGCGGCAGTGTCATTATTGTGTAAGCTGCAGTGACACGTGTCAAAACATGAATGCAGAACCTCTAAATAGGATGTGAGCGAGCTTTCATTCCTCAGATTACTGTAAGAAATAAATCAATAATTTAGGCGCAACGTCACCAGCTCGCTTCAATCGTCGGCGCTTTAATACCGCAGATCAAATCCTGTTTGAGCTCCGCAAGTTGAATTAGCTTTCTAAATATGAAATGTCTTGATATAGCTGTAATCTGGAGGATAAGATTTTCTAAGAAGAAAATGCAGTTCCCTGCCTAATATAGCCGCCTTAAAGTGTAGCTGTCATGCCGTTTCGGAAAGTCTGGGATTATCAGCGTAGCTTGTGTAAAGCCCTAATTGCAGCTCGGAGTTTGTATCAGCCATCTTGAAAAGAGATCGACTTAATGTGGTACCGCCTTTCCTGTAATTGAAAGGGCAATGCCAGTGGAAATGGCTAACCTGACTTTTTAAAAGATGCTTAGAGGAACTATAAAAGAGATTTGTAAGTTAGATCTGAACTCTAGTTGTAGCGGCGCTTCTCCTGGAACTATAATTGCTCACTCTGATATCACTGCACACTGTAAGCTTTTCACAGTGTGCATTAGAAACTGCAGCAAGTCAGGTAGAACAAGGGGCGGACTGACCATTTGGAAAATCGGGGTACTGCCTCCTCCCATGCTCGTCTCCAGGACTTTTCCAGAGCTTCCCCCATCCTCTGGAACTCTCTTCCCCAATTTATCAGACTATCGCCTACTCTGCTCACTTTTAGGCGATCTCTGAAAACTTCTCTCTTCAGGGAAGCCTATCCTGCCCTCAGCTATAATGGAATCCTCTACTCTTCCAACCAGTCCATCCCCCACAGTGACTACCTTTTGTACCACTAGCCCCTCCCTCCTAGATTGTAAGCTCCGAGGAGCAGGGCCCTCCTATCCAGGGGCGGACTGACCATTTGGAAAATCCGGCACTGCCTCCTCCCATGCTCATCTCCAGGACTTTTCCAGAGCTTCCCCCATCCTCTGGAACTCTCTTCCCCAATTTATCAGACTATCGCCTACTCTGCTCACCTTTAGGCAATCTCTGAAAACCTATCTCTTCAGGGAAGCCTATCCTGCCTTCAGCTGATAATGGAATCTTCTACTCTTCCAACCAGTCCATCCCCCACAGTGACTACCTTTTTGTACCACTAGCCCCTCCCTCCTAGATTGTAAGCTCCGAGGAGCAGGGCCCTCCTATCCAGGGGCGGACTGACCATTTGGAAAATCCGGCACTGCCTCCTCCCATGCTCATCTCCAGGACTTTTCCAGAGCTTCCCCCATCCTCTGGAACTCTCTTCCCCAATTTATCAGACTATCGCCTACTCTGCTCACCTTTAGGCAATCTCTGAAAACCTATCTCTTCAGGGAAGCCTATCCTGCCTTCAGCTGATAATGGAATCTTCTACTCTTCCAACCAGTCCATCCCCCACAGTTACTACCTTTTGTACCACTAGCCCCTCCCTCCTAGATTGTAAGCTCCGAGGAGCAGGGCCCTCCTATCCAGGGGCGGACTGACCATTTGGAAAATCGGGCACTGCCCCAGGGCCCGGGGTCAGTAGGGGGCCCCATGAGATGCCCCTGGTAACTTTTTCATAGGCTTTTTTGAGTTTGGGCAAGGACACACGGGCCCCATGATCCCCTATTGCCCGGGGCTGCAGTTTGGAGACCAGGATGAGAAGATTAGGAAGACACTCAATGACTGTTATTTTGGCATTTATAAAGTCAACTCTTTTTTGAATAGGGAAAGGTAAAAACGCTTGATAGATTTTAACTTGCTGTCTACACCCCATTACAAAGCTTTCCCTTCACTTTCTGTTCTAGAAACACAGCAGAAAGTGAGAGGAAATTTCTCTAGAGTCAATGGTCATCAAGCCAAATGTATGGCTACCAACCAGGGGCGGATTGACCATTTGGAAACTCGGGCACTGCCCGAGGGCCCGGGGTCAGTAGGGGGCCCCATGAGATGCTCCTGGTACCTTTTTTCATAGGCTTTTTTGAGTTTGGGCAAAGACACAGGGGCCCCATGATCCCCTATTGCCCGGGGGCCCCATGAGTTGTCAGTCCGCCCCTGGGTAGAACCTGCTTCATTTCCTGGCTGGAGAACTACCAGCATCATCATGCCGTTTCCACCCAAGCCTGACTGTCCCTGGCCCACCCCTTTCATTTATTGAATTTCAGTTCTATCAGTCACGGACACTCAACATCATATGTGGGCATCATTCAGGACAGTCTGCATGCAAATACAGCCTGACTAGGAACACCCCCATATGGAAGAAAAATATATTTGAAATATATTTTAAAAATATTCTTCCCAAATATATTGACATATATTTGAAATACTACAATTTTGGCCATATTCAATATATTTAAAAATATATTTCGTTAAAATATATATATGTGGGTCAGATTTGGCCCACAGGCTGCAGTTTGGAGACCCCTGCCCTAGCGGAACCCTTAGAATAGTTTTTAGATCTCAAAAAAAACCCGGCTAAAAACAATTCATCACGGTTTAGTGGGAAGAACGCTGCATACAGCCTCTTTAACCACCTCCCATCTGGCTGTTGTATATAAACGGCCAGACAGTGGCAGTGCAGGATCGGGCGTTTATAAACGGTCTCCCCACACCCTGCTTGTGCGCTCTCCCAGGGAGCGCGCAGCACCGCGATCCAGTGCCCGCTGTGTCCTCAGGACACAGTGGAACACAGATCGTCGGACGGGACCTCTGTACGAGGTCCCGATCATGTGATCACTGATTGGCCAATCAGTGATCACATGCAAAATAGTAAGCAAGATGTCACTTGCGACATCATTGCTTACTACGTGTGAAATCTGTGAATGATCACAGAGATCACATGGTACAAGGCTATTCACAACAGCCTTGTACCATGTGACAAGCTGTGACCAATCACAGCTCACTCAGTAGTTCTCAATGGCTGCAGGAATGCAGCCAGAGAGAAGGAGAAATTATTGTTTTTACAGCCTTTATGGGTGTAAAAGCAATCAGTGTAAAAAAAAAAAAAATCATCATCCCCCACAAGTAGTACAGTGTCACCATGGTGACACTGTACTGCTAGAGTGACAGTGACAGTTAAAAGATAACGGAATACATTTTGGCCAAGATTTGATGAAATATTATTTATTGCAAAATTTTATAAGAAAAACACTTTTTTTCAAAATTTTTGGACATTTTCATTTATATAGCAAAAAAAAAAAAAATCCCAGTGGTGAATAAATACCACCAAAATAAAGCTTTATCTGTCTTAAAAAAAATGGTAAAAAATTCATATGGGTACAGTGTTGCATGACCGCGCAATTGTCATTCAAATTGTGATAGAACTGAACTGAAAGCTGGCCTGGACAGGAAGGGGGTAAAAGTGCCCGGTATGGAAGCAGGTGAAAGTGTCCAGACTGGAAGGGGGTAAAAGTGTCCGGACTGGAAGGGGGTGAAAGTGTCCGGACTGGAAACGGGTGAAAGTGTTCGGACTTTAAGGGGGTGAAAGTGTCTGGACTGGAAGGGGGTGAAAGTGTCCGGACTGGGGGGTGAAAGTGTCCGGACTTTAAGGGGGTGAAAGTGTCCGGACTTTAAGCGGGTGAAAGTGTCCGGACTGGAAGGGGGTGAAAGTGTCCGGACTGGAAGGGGGTGAAAGTGTCCAGACTGGAAGGGGATGAAAGTGTCTGGATTGGAAGGGGGTGAAAGTGTCCGGACTGGAAGGGGGTGGAAGTGTCCAGACTGGAAGGGGATGAAAGTGTCCGGACTGGAAAGTGTCCAGGGAAGGGGAAAAGTGTCCGGACTGGAAGGGGGTGAAAGTGTCCGGACTGGAAGGGGGTGAAAGTGTCCGGACTGGAAGGGGGTGAAAGTGTCCGGACTGGAAGGGGGTGAAAGTGTCCGGACTGGAAGGGGGTGAAAGTGTCCGGACTGGAAGGGGGTGAAAGTGTCCGGACTGGAAGGGGGTGAAAGTGTCCGGACTGGAAGGGGGTGAAAGTGTCCGGACTGGAAGGGGTGAAAGTGTCCGGACTGGAAGGGGGTGAAAGTGTCCGGATTGGAAGGGGGTGTGAAAGTGTCCGGACTGGAAGGGGGTGAAAGTGTCCGGATGGAAGGGGGTGAAAGTGTCCGGACTGGAAGGGGGTGAAAGTGTCCGACTGGAAGGGGGTGAAAGTGTCCGGACTGGAAGGGGGTGAAAGTGTCCGGACTGGAAGGGGTGAAAGTGTCTGGATTGGAAGGGGGTGAAAGTGTCCGGACTGGAAGGGGGTGAAAGTGTCCGGACTGGAAGGGGGTGAAGTGTCCAGACTGGAAGGGGATGAAAGTGTCCGGACTGGAAGGGGGTGAAAGTGTCCGGACTGGAAGGGGGTGAAAGTGTCCGGACTGGAAGGGAGTGGAAGTGTCCAGACTGGAAGGGGATGAAAGTGTCCGGACTGGAAGCTGGTGAAAGTGTCCAGACTGGAAGGGGATGAAAGTGTCCGGACTGGAAGCGGGTGAAAGTGTCCGGACTGGAAGCGGGTGAAAGTGTCCGGACTGGAAGGGGGTGAAAGTGTCCAGACTGGAAGGGGATGAAAGTCTCTGGATTGGAAGGGGGTGTGTCTGTGACCGGATTGGA